CAAAGACATATTGGTTTGATGAACACTAAATATGGAAGAATATAAAAACTTTTCTTTCATGCTTCTGTTTTTTTTTTTTTTTCAAAATTTAGTGTTTTGATATTAATTCTAGATTTGATCATTTTATTAGATGATAGAAGCCTTTTTGTTTTTTTCTTTTATTTAAATATATAATATTTTTTTAATAAATGACCCTGTGACAATATGACTCTAAATATGATCATATTATATATTTGTATAATATATAATATGATCTCAAACTAAATAATTATGTTTTTTGGTATAAAATTGAATAAATTGAAAACCGATGGTATATAAACCAAATCAAACTGTAGTACATATAGATTTAGAATAGTAGTTATATTTTAATGATCGAAATACCAAAAAATCGGACAAAAAATTGAGCCGAACCGAAACCCGATATCCGGATTGAGCACCTATAATCCGAATGAAACCAAACTATTGTTTCATTTTTCAAAACATAATAAAAATAATAGCTTCATCCCGCGCAAAGCGCGGGTCTTATCCTAGTTTATAATATTAAAAAAAAAAACAGAACAGACACTTGTGTGTTGATGGGCAGGTGACCAATAGGATTGCGTAAAATTCAATCTATGACAGTGAGGGTCCACTTGAAAAGCTGACCTGGCAAACACGGAAAATCACTCCATTATTTTAAAAATCTAAAGATTACGTGGGGACCCATAACCTCACAACTTTCTTTCTCCCTTGGGATGCAAACTAAGCGAAGCTGCAAAGAAACAACCATCACCTTCAATGTCGGTTTTCATCTCTAAAAACAACAACGAATCAACGATCAAAGATGACGAAAAAGATGAATCCACGGTGGCGGGAACTGCCCCCACAGCACCGCCTCTCTTTCCCCCCAGATTTTTTCTAACATATCTCACTTTAACAGTTTGTCGGTTACATTACATCCTTCCCTAAACCTTTATAAACCCTTAAACCCCATCATCCTCCTCCCTTAATCCATTTTCTTAACTAAACTCCTTGATTACTTACCCCTCAAGTTTACCATAAATTACAAATGAGCCCAGAGAAAGATGGTGCTTCAAAACCCACTCCACTCTCCATACCTCACCACGTCGACACAACAGACGTGGCTTCTCCACTCCCTATGCCGCTAGACATCTTGCACGGGAATCCCATCCCGCCGTTTCTATCCAAAACGTTCGATTTGGTGGATGACCCGAGTCTCGACCCGGTTATATCTTGGGGACTGACCGGAGCTAGCTTCGTCGTTTGGGACCCTGTGGAGTTCGCAAGGATTATACTCCCGCGGAACTTCAAACACAACAATTTCTCCAGCTTCGTCAGACAGCTTAACACTTATGTCGGTATCTCTGTTATGTCTCTCTTTAGTGTTAATATATTATAAAATGTTTCTCTACTTTTGTTTTGTAGCTTCGGATAGATGCTGATGACTCATGGATGATCATTCTTTTTTTTGTTTGTTTACCATTTGTTAACGCTTACCTGTTTTTTCTTTCAATTTATTTTTTTGTATTTGTGTAATTTAATTTGTTGTATAGATTGTTGAAACTGGGTTTTTGTCAAAACTGTGAATACCTGTAATCATGTTTTAATGGGATTTGTGCAATCTCTATAATGTAAAGATCTCTGATTCATGTATCTATGAATTTGGGTTTGTGTTACTATGTTTACTGGTCATGTTAAATAATAAGCTTGTAAACTTGTTGAACTCTAATGATCATATCATCTTGTGTAATTACATGCTTTCTTGTCAATGAAGAATTTTGGTTTTCAACTTTTGTTATTTTTCTTACTTGTTCACTATACAAACTCAAAGGTTGGAATCTTCTAATTATAGCTAAACAGAACAAAGATCTAGTTTTGCAATCAATCTTTTGTTGTAATCTTGATGTCATTGTTGTGGGTTTGATGTTCTTTTGGGGTTTGAATTGTGTTCAGGGATTCCGGAAGATTGATACTGACAAATGGGAATTCGCCAACGAGGCTTTCCTCAGAGGACATAAGCATCTTCTCAAGAACATTCACCGTCGTCGTTCACAACAATCCAACCAAGCTTGCAGCACCAGCCAGAGCCAAGGGTCACCCACCGAGGTTGGAGAAGAGATCGAGAAGCTGAGGAGAGAGCGGCGTGCGTTGATGGAAGAAATGGTGGAGCTTCAGCAGCAAAACAGAGGCACTGCTCGACATGTGGACACTGTGAACCAGAGGCTGAAAGCTGCTGAGCAAAGGCAGAAGCAGATGCTGTCTTTCTTGGCTAAGTTGTTTCAGAACCCTGGTTTCTTGGACCGCCTCAAGAACCTCAAAGGAGAAGGAGGAGCTCGAAGGAAGTTCATCAAGCACCAGCAGCCTCAAGATTCTCCAACGGGAGGTGAGATTGTGAAGTATGAAGCTGATGATTGGGAGAGACTGCTAATGTCTGAGGAAGAGACTGAGAACATTCCACTATCAAGCCAAGGGATGACTTCAACCGATCCAAAAGGGAAGAATCTGATGAATCCATCAGAAGAAGAAACAATGAATCCAGATTACTTATTACCCTTCCCAACTCCTGAAGGACTTATCAAACAAGAAGAGACTTGGAGTATGGGTTTCGACACTACAATACCTAGTTTCAGCAATGAGGATGATGTATGGGGAAACACAGTGGAGTATAATGTCACAGAGTTTGGTTCTGTTGCAGAAACAACAAGTGGTGGTTGTTTGCCTGATGTTTGTTGGGAACAGTTTGCTGCAGGGATCACAGAGACTGGATTCAACTGGCCATCTGGTGATGATACTACTCCAATGGATGATCCTTAAAGACCTTTTATTATATATTATTAGAACCAAACACCTGATTATTATCTGGTGGAACTATTAATTGATTGATTGTTCATTTTCAGATGCACCTTTATTCCATATATAAATAATGATTTTGCACTTCTTATTCAGAATCTATGTTTCTGGACTAAGGTTTTAGTGGATGACACACAACTATGCTTTTGTTTTGTTTGTTTGGGTTCTATCTGCAGGGGTTTGGGGACTCTTTCTGAAGCTGACTATTTTATCATCACAATCTTCCATGGAAGAGAAGGGTTTGGGGACTCTTTCTGAAGCTGACTATTTTATCATCACAATCTTCCATGGAAGAGAAGATCTTCATGTTCCAGGTTAGCTCTTCCTCTCTCTCTTTCTCTCTCCTTTGCTCTGATATGTTTTGTCTTGGTAGGGTTACAATTTAAAACTAATACCCGGTAAGACCATGATTAACCCGGGGTTCTTACGGCTCTAAGACATGATATGTTTCTGATATTTTAACTTTTGAGTCTTATTCTATTATTCTGACTTGGTGAGTATTATTCACTATAAGGTATAACTGTGATGAAGGGATCCTGCTATGTACTATAGTGGTTTATATTAATATAGATCATGTCCCTATAATCATACAACCATTATTATCACAATACAATCCTTTTATTTAATTTTTAACTTACTTAAAACATTGTGGTTTTGGATTAAGGTTTGTTGTGGCTTTGAGTATAGATGTAGTCCAAGTGAGATTCTGTGATCATCCTTCTCTTCATACACTCTTCATCGCTCTCCTCGCATTTCTCTTCTCCCATAAGCTTCAACCACATTTCAGGGAAAAATATAAGTCAAATTTCTCAAATAAACACAATGAACATTCAGTTAGATAAATTTTAAATAGAGAAGAGTATTTACATGTGATAACTCTTGGGCCATATCAGATGTCTTAACTGCTTGTCTAGTCCAGGCCCATTTATCGTTCTTGATTCCTTTTTCTTCTACTACAATGGCAAAATTGGTGAAAGAAAACATAAAATCAAAGAAATTTTTTCCACGAACTATGTAAGAAAATGGAATTTATTAACTCTATGCTAGGAATTCGATCTAATCCCAAGGTTCACTCATGTGACCGAAACATAACATTTCAGGCAACGGATCACTGAAATAATTTTCATTAAATTTCTGATTATATGAACGATTTCAAGATCTAAACTTATAGATGATCCACAAAAGACATACCATAAAAAAATTAGACTGTGGTTCTATTAGGGATACTATATCCCACATCGGAAAATCATAGGGACCTTAAGTAATATATAAAGGGTTAGGGCCAATCCACTTATCACCAATTGGTTTTAAGTTGGAAGCCCATAATAAACCCAAAGTTAACATGGTATCAGAGCCCAGATCCTAAAAAAAAAAAGCCCTAAACTCCTAATTAATTAATTACCCTTCCGACCGGGTATATAGGTCGTGTTTAACCTTCCGGCTAGGTATAATTGTCGTATTTGACTCGCTCGACCGAGTATAAATGTCTTAAAACTCCGAGATTTCTGGCCGATAAGAGCCATCATCTCGAGGAGGGGTATTAGGGATACTATATCCCACATCGGAAAATCATAGGGACCTTAAGTAATATATAAAGGGTTAGGGCCAATCCACTTATCACCAATTGGTTTTAAGTTGGAAGCCCATAATAAACCCAAAGTTAACAGGTTCAGACTTAAAAAAAAAAAAGAATACCTAGCTCTTATTAACTACATTTTGCATACGACCGCACTAGAAAACTAGAAATCGACGTCTATATACACCGAAAGTCATAATCAAACTTGTAAATTAGCATATATAGAACACATAGATACAATTTACAAAGACATGCATAATGCATGTGGGTCTGTATATACGGCATGCAGATACCTTCTTTATCCACTGGGGAAGGTCGTTGAGCTGTACGAAGCTCAGATAACTGAAGAAGGATAAGAATAAAAACGAAGAGCATAATGCTAAGTTTTTTCTCCATTTTTTCTGTTTCGGAGCTCTTGAGAATAAGAGCTCAAACTTGAAGAAGATGAAAAAAGAACAAGTCAGAACTTTAAAACATGAAGGAGAATGAGAAACAAGAACAAGTCAAAAGCTATATAATAAACGTGTAGATCTCTCACATGGACGTTACATTTACGTTTAAGCCCGTCTCTGATGTGTTGTGCAGTGGATCCCACTTTATAAAGCACTTCATTTAGCCAGAAATGAGTTAGCAACTTCATCAACCAGACAAAACATAACTAGTCGACGGCCACTTAAAGAGTCTGTATAAAAATTTACGTTTGATGTATATAACATAATTCAAATCTTGTCATGAATTATCTCCGGTGTTTGCCAAAAATAAGTTTTAGTTAACGTTGATCTAAAAGACGAAACAAGTAAACAACTACTTACAACTATTTATTTGATAATTATTTAAGTTATGAGTTCTCTTTTCCCAAAAAAAAATGTTTTTGGATATCAATATACTAATTGGCATACTAATTATTATACACATTATTTACCTAGTTCTGCTTTTAACATCTTTGTTTTCTAGTTGACTCATCTCGTTGTCGACATCCCACCCACGAGAGAAAGATTCTTCCTCGTTGATTGTGTAACGTAAATGACAAAAGCAAAACGGACGCACTCTCTTTCGATGTTACACAACATTACTAGTACTCTATGTTATTCATGTCTCGTCTTCCTTTATTTCCTACTATTTTATTTTTAAAATGTAAATTTTTTCAAAGACTAGTTCACATATAACTACAGATCATGCAGTGTGAACTAGTCTATTCCGTATATTTGTAATTTATGGAAAAATACTTTTCAAATGAAGAACCTAAGATCATGCAGTGTGAACAAAGAAGAAAAAAAACCTTACTCCACATGGTTAGTGATATGGGTCTAAATTAAAACTTAGAATAGAGTCACATCATTTAGGTATTCGGATCTATCTTGACTAAACCGATTACTCTGTGATATAGAAAGACAAAGAATGATCACGAGCCTAATTTGATTACTTGATAGGAGTCATTATCGTATACTATTTTTTCCGTAAGCCGACAGTTCGAGAAAACTAGGCCTTGTCCATTCATATATATCAACTGAGACAAGGAAAAGAGAGCCTCACGAGTCACGACTTTACTTCGACTTTGGTGGTAGTCCTTGTCATCTAATTTTTGCTTTAATAATTTATATGCAATTATTGTAAACCTGTGTGTTCTAGATCTGGTTTCATTTCATATCGTTCGTAGAATATTATGAATTAATTCATTTGATTTGGTCTTCAGAGAGGCAAAAATGTAGTGTCAAAATTTTGCAAACACTGTTTATATATGTCGATTGTGTTGGATTTTAGTTGTCATTCAGAAAATAAATTGAATTGAAGTGTAATTAGCTACTGGCCAGGTTATCTTCCCCATCACTCCTGAGTTTTGACTAGTGAATTTAATTTCAGATTTCTGAGTAAGCAAATGTTGATATGGCCGAGTTGGTCTAAGGCGCCAGATTAAGGTTCTGGTCCGAAAGGGCGTGGGTTCAAATCCCACTGTCAACATTTCTTATTTTTTCAATGCTTGATCTTCTTTGGGCTTCTTCTAGTTTTGGCCCATCAATTACATTTTGTTGTGAAAAGTTGATTCAAGGGGCCATATTATAATGATTTAGATTTAACAAAGGCCCTAAAGGTTAAGCCTGCCAACTTTGACAAAGAACATATGACCATATTCAGTGGATCGTCCGTTTACTACATGACATAGCTTAGCATAAAAAAATAATTAAATGCAAAGACTTATTAAGCTAATTAAGACATGTGAACCCAAAAGAAAATTATTAGATGGGAATCGTTTGATATGTTTGGTATAGATTAGTCTACCATCGATCTATTTCATATTATTTTTCTCTAAGCAAATTGTATAAAGTGAGATCTTTACGAAAATGTAGGCATTAGACATGACATATTTTCCAATACATGTAGGCATTAGTCATTACATAAAACATGTAATCCAGATAAAACTATTAGTTTTTGGTAAGAAAATAAATAAGTGTAGGTTTGTATTCTGAGAGGGACAACCAAAAAGAACAAGAGAGTTGTTGTATGGTTGAACTTAAATGATGTCAACACAAATATATAAATAAAAAATAGAAAGTAAGTCAAAATCTGAACGACATGGTGAGACTTTCGATGTGTTTGTTACGACACCATTCACACATATCTTCCTTTAGCCAATTAGTCCACTCCTTACATTTAATGAGCCTTTTAGAAAGTCAATCCATGTGACTTGATAATAGCTACCACATTTGTAAAAACTAGGAGGTAACCTAATTGGACAGGTATAATATAACCATGTTTAAGGCTATTACGAGCCACTGTTGCATACTTGCATTGGATCTCTGATTACTTTACATTTTGAAAATAGTTCCTTGGAGTTGCGTAAACGTTGTTGGGTAGATATTTGTTTCTTTCGGATCAAAATACAATAGATTGTAGCATGAGCGACAAGTCTAAGGAAGTCTCATGCATGTTGATATTACACCATGCACATACATGGTCCCTATAAGTGTTGGGAGGTCCAAAGAAAATTGCAAGTTGCAACTATAGAGACATTCAACGACCTGACAGGTAAATCCACAGAAACTAATGAAGAGCTTGAGTCTTTTGACCCTTTAAAGATCATGGTGCGACTTTTGTCCTAACTCTGTTTCACATATATAGCAACTACATCCCAAATTATAACACCTATAATCTTCTAGATTTTCCCCTTTCAATCTGCAAGGATTTACATGAAAATTGTGTATGCAGATATGTTTTTGGATTCAGAATCGCGTGGCATGATCACAGTAAGACTTATAGTGAGTCTTATATGCATCAAATTAAATGATCTCATTTGTTTTACTCTTACATAATCTCTCGTTTGTAAAAACAATTTGAAATAAGTAAATAACACTGAGAAATACAATTTAAACATTTCACAAACTCATTGTCAATTTAGATGCATACATGATACATGTGTATTTAGCTATGTATTTTATACACATATACTGACACTGACACATGCTTAGTGCGTGCAATAATTTGTCTCTACTCAATCGTTTATGTAAAATACTCTGGTTTTAGTGCATTACACAACTGGTCCATTTGCGATTAGCGACTAATGATTAATGGTTGACATGATAACATTTCATCCCAATATCTCCACCAGAAAACCATATCTTTCTAAAATCAGACTACAAATATTCAAATACTAGTCCCACGACATCGACGCCTTATAATACCAATTTCTTCGTATATTATATGACCGGCTTAACATTATTTTATCGTTTATACTCTTATATACCTATCTGCGCCTCTATAAATATATATCAAAGTAAAACTGATGCAATGGACTCTCTCCCTCTCTCTCTCTCTGGATGAACGAATCAAAAACATCACAATCTCTTTCCATTTCTGTTAACCTAGTAGAACCTCTCTTTCTTTCTCTTTGAGACAAACTTCCAAAAATGGAAAGTTTGTGTTTAATCTCTGTGACTCGTTTTCTGTTGTTATTCTTTTTCTTAGCTTTTTGGCATCAAGTAAACGCGACCGAACCGGTTCTAGAGATAACTAAAGGCTTCGAAGCTAAACCGGATTCGTCCATAAACTCGTTCCAGCCACTCCTAACCGACCCGAGTGGAAACTTCTCATTCGGGTTCTTACGGTTAAACGGTTCACGCCTCTCCCTCGCTATAACCCACCCGAACTTAACGGACCCCCTCTGGGTTTTCGACCCGACCCGAACCGCAAGCTGGTCACACAAAACGAAACTATTCTTCAACGGCAGCCTCGTAATTTCAGATCCTTCCTCGAGGGTAGAATGGTCAACTCACAGTAACGGAGACCGTCTTATCCTCCGTAACGACTCCAACCTCCAAGTGGTATCATCATCCGACGTGGACTGGGAGAGTTTCGATTTTCCGAGTAACACACTCGTCGAGAACCAGAATTTCACGTCTAAGATGACGTTAGTTTCATCCAACGGCTTATATTCGATGCGATTAGGACGCGATTTCATCGGATTATACGCTAAAGTAACCGAAGACTCTCAACAGTTTTACTGGAAACACAGCGCTCTCCAGGCGAAAGCCAAAATCAAAGACGGATCGGGTCCGATTCACGCTCGGATCAACCCGAACGGTTATCTCGGTATGTACCAAACCGGAACGATTCCAGTCGACGTGGAAGCGTTCAACAGCTTCCAACGACCGGTTAACGGTCTAATGATTCTCCGATTGGAATCCGACGGGAATCTCCGTGGATATCTCTGGGACGGATCTCGCTGGGCGTTGAACTACGAAGCTATCCGCGAAACTTGCGATCTCCCGAATCCGTGTGGTCCGTACAGTCTGTGTACTCCTGGATCGGGATGCTCGTGTATAGATAACAGCACCGTGATCGGAGAGTGTGGTCCTAGAGGTTCGGGAGTGGAGGATTTTTGCGGCGGTGACGGGGAGAAGTTTAAGGAGGTGAGACGTGGAGGCGTTGAAGTGGCGTTTAAGGAACTGTTGGATCATAAAACGACGTCGTCTTTGGGGGAGTGTGAGGAGATGTGTGTGGAGGATTGTAAATGTTTCGGGTCGGTTTATAATAACGGGTCCGGGTTTTGTTATTTGGTTAATTATCCGATACGGACGATGCTTGGCGTTGCGGATCCGAGTAAAATGGGATATTTTAAGGTGGGTGAGGGTGTAGGGAAGAAGAGAAGCCGAGTGGGATTAACGGTTGGGATGACTCTGCTCGCTGTGGTTGCGTTGGGTTTAACGGTGGCGATGGTTTATGTTGCGTTTAGGATATGGAGGAGTAGAGAGAAGCATGCACTAGAGGGAGAAGATGGTGGGTTATCACCCGGCCCGTATAAAAATCTCGGGTCGGATAGTTTTAGATCCGTTGAAATGAGCCGTAGGTGATAGCTTTTTTAGTTACACATATATAAAATTAATTAACCTTTCTTTCTTTTTGCTTTATGCAATTTGACTATTGTCTGGCTGATGAGCTTTTTACCTATCAAAACTAAATTTAATTATTGCGGGAAAGGTATTTGGATAAATCTTTGATGGAGTAGGCGGGAAATATTATAAAAATGTGTAATGGCGTCATGCATGACGATAACGAGTATGGATGGTGGACTCTTCTCTAGGCCCACATGCTTGAGGGTTGACACTTCCACTATCCTATTTTAAAAATCTTTTAAAAATAAAATTTTGATAGATACTTCAATATTATAAACTATCAGCATCCAGTGGCTTAGCTCACGTGCTTCATGGCTGCAACTACCACTAAATACTAAAATGTAACAAAGAATTGATCTTCCGGAAATAAATATAACTTTCTACAATATTAGAGGCAAAGGGACAACTTCTAAATTTGGTCATTGGATTAGCAAGTGACAATTTCTACAGGCCTCTCGTAAAAACTCTATTTTTGTAGTTGTATCCGTATCTAACGCGGCCTTTGTACTATATAAAACCCCAAAGGCCCATTTTCAAATCAATCTTATACCATAATCAGAGACCGATCATCTCCTGCTCTCTCTTTTGTACACAATGTCGTGCTTCAAATCCAAATACACCGGTACATATCTCACCAGCATCTCATTGTTCATCATTTGATTTATCTTAGTTATCATCTGCTTTCTTGTGGTTCGAATGTGCTACTACCGTTATTTAATTATTTTTTTTATATCGACAGATGAGCTCATCGCCAATGCTGCTTACATCGGTTCTCCAGGGAAAGGTATTCTTGCTGCTGATGAATCCACAGGGACCATTGGGAAACGTTTCGCTAGCATTAACGTCGAGAACGTTGAATCAAACAGACGTGCACTACGTGAGCTCTTGTTCACCACTCCTGGAGCTCTCCAATACATCAGTGGTGTCATCCTCTTTGAGGAAACTCTCTACCAGAAAACAGCTTCAGGTAAAAACTCAAAATCTCATTATAGTATCACATCTTCTAGTGCTTTCTTGTTGGCTTTGACCAAAGGAATGAAGAAATACTTTAAGTAATTACACCATTTAGAAAAATAATTTTTTATTTCCAATCTCTGTCATTCCTTTTTTGTAAAAAAAATAATAGAACATTTTTTTTCCTTCTAAATTTAGAAGGAATAATTATTTCTCTTCATTTCTACAATTGTATTCCTATTTTTCGTATTCCTGTTATAGTTACTATTTGGGTATGAATGGTGACCAAGGAATGAGGAATAATCCATTGCTTAACATTTCTAAAGAAATTCACCATTCACAAGGAATAATTTTTTTTTCTTATTCCTTCTCATTTTTTTTGAGGAATATAGAACAAAATTATTCCTTATTAAAATTCATAAAGAACAATCATTCATTTTTTTTTCCTGCAAATTTATTCTTATCATTCTTTTTTCTTTCATTCTTGTCGTTCCTATATTGGTTACCAGTGAAATTTATAACCATAGTGTGTTGGTATGTATAAGAATAATAGAATGTGTTATTATTTTAGAATTGTATATCTCTTTGGTAGCTAGGTTAACTTGACTTGTGCCACAGGGAAACCATTTGTTGATGTAATGAAGGAAGCTGGAGTCCTTCCAGGTATCAAAGTCGATAAAGGAACCGTCGAGCTCGCTGGTACAAACGGCGAGACCACAACCACTGGCCTCGACGGGCTCGGAGACCGTTGCAAGAAATACTATGAAGCTGGTGCACGTTTTGCCAAATGGCGTGCCGTTCTCAAAATTGGAGCCAACGAGCCTTCCGAGTTAGCCATCCACGAGAACGCTTACGGCTTAGCGAGGTATGCAGTCATCTGCCAAGAGAACGGTCTCGTCCCCATCGTGGAACCAGAGATCCTTGTGGACGGATCTCACGACATTGAGAAATGTGCTTACGTCACGGAACTTGTCCTCGCAGCTTGTTATAAGGCTCTTAATGATCACCATGTGATCTTAGAAGGAACACTCTTGAAACCAAACATGGTTACTCCAGGTTCCGACTGTAAGTCTAGGGCTGAACCTAAAGTGATCGCAGAGCACACGGTCCGTGCTTTACAACGTACTGTCCCCGCCGCGGTTCCAGCGGTTGTGTTCTTGTCTGGAGGACAGAGTGAGGAACAAGCAACTGTGAATTTAAACGCTATTAATCAGCTCAAAGGTAAGAAACCATGGAGTTTGACGTTTTCTTATGGACGTGCGCTTCAGCAGAGTACACTCAAGGCTTGGGGAGGTAAAGAGGAGAATGTTGAGAAGGCTCAAAAGGCGTTCTTGGCTCGAGCCAAGGCTAACTCGGAGGCAACTACTGGTACCTACAAAGGTGATGCTCAGCTCGGTGAAGGGGCTTCTGAGAGCCTTCACGTTAAAGACTACAAATACTAAAAAAAGTCTCTTGGGGATTTGATTAATATTTTGAAAATTTTGGTAATTATGTAAATATTATATAATCATAACCTAACTGTGTGCAATTATTGGTTTCTTTTGGCGTTTTGGGTGGTATATATTACGCTGGTGTATATAATTTATTTTGACCTTTTCATTGTTTTCTGATGATTAAACCCTTCTTTAGGGGAAATTTTATTGTAAACTTGTAATAATGGCATGCTCTGTAAGAGTTACATACTTACATCTTATAAAATAAATCTTTTTCGTTATGTTCTGTTACTTGTTTTATTCTTAGCTTTTCTTCTTACATATTTATATACATTAGTGTATAACATAGAAAATTAGTTTTAAGATTATTTTAGCTGCTACGTTGACACTTGACAGGTTAACGAAACGAAATCTCATCGTTGTTGATCGTCGGCCGCCATTTATTTTCAAAAGTAAACTTCTATTCATCAGCCTGTTAATAATTATTTATTTTGCCCTGTGATTTATCAATAATTAACTGTGTCTACGGTTAATTACGATTCTGTTGTTTGGTTGTACCATATTTATGGTTTTGTCCTCTTCTTGTTCTGTTTTTTGAATTTTTACCTCTCACCGATTCGTAACAATTGTTTACCTCTATAGGTACAAATTAAAGAGAAAAATATAGTTTATTGAGAAAAATATCATAACTTTTTAACAATTAATGAGAGGGAATATAAAAATAAGAAACTTGTATAATGAGGTGATGATATGTCTAGTCGTAGGGCGGGCAGTATAGAGAGACAATGGCAGTGACTGAACGTGAAATAGGGTCGTGAAAACAGTTTTAGCTGTTTAGTGATGCACTGATGGATAATGTTGCGAGAAGTCTTACCACTCCAACTTCAGTCCTTATTCACTAGCTACAAGTCAACAAATCCCTTTTAGTTTCTTTTTCGTATTTTAGACCAAAACTCTCAAAAGACTACAAACACTCCAACTTTTTTTTCCTTTTGATGCTGTAACCTACTAAAGCATGATTATCCCTAAAAACCTATTTGGGTATCTTAATTTTTTTTATGTAAAAAAAAAAAGAATTCAAATTGTCATACGTCAGTGGAATCCGTGAACAGTGCAAGAAACTCATGAAAATTGGTTCTTAATTCATAGTTTTTATAACCGTTTCTTATAATGTTCATGATAACCACACAATAAAAACCTCCTAAAAACCCATATAATCATGCTCTTAGTTCTTTAAAAAGAATAGCAAAACTTTTAGGATCTATCTTTGGCTAGATTTACCAGTGGTCTGTAATGGAATGTTTTGAAGAGTAAGTAAACATTGAGCTTATGAAAATAATTGTGTGACGTGTTCTCTATATTTCCACAAGATATATGACACATGCAGCATTAATGTGCAAATATCAGCATCCATATCCAAATTGCATTGAACAGCAAATATAAAGTTTGACGAAAAGAATCATCAAACTCTATATAGAAGTAGGACTGGTCTTGTGTGGAACCCATAAAAATAAACAAAAGCATTTAAATGAGAATAGAGACAATTCAGAATTAATCAACATTGTCAATAATGTGTACGCACGAAAGATTGTATTAACTCGTGCTCGTGTCTCACTGTATCTATAGGGAATAGGGACAAAAGGAGAAGAGTGAGATCATGGAGAGGGATAAAGGCAAATGGTTACTTTCTCTCTGACCATCAACACACTGAATCGACCAGAGCTTACTTCACCACTCTTCCTCCCTGTCTCCATCTTCATAACTCTTTGTCTCTCTCTAGGATTACCCCAAATTTACTTCTCTAGCCTTCTATGTATCTTTTCTTTGTATCTCCATTTTTGTACATACATTAATTAGTTTGACTTTTCTAGACCAAAGTTCAACCAAATTTTACGATTTACAAAACCAAATGAAAACTCGGTATAAGTGTTTGATCGATTCATTTATAATGTAGTAATATATGAACCAAACTAGGGGGGAGGGGGGAACAAGTTTGATTTATTTATTTATTTATTTCTGTTTTCTACATAGTAGTATTGAAGATACCGTATACCAAACATTATTGAAAAAGGCATCATTAATCCCATTTCTCTTCCCTAATATAAATAGTTTTACTTACAGAAATATCGAAAATTCAGTCGATAGAAAATAATGATCTCATTCAATCAATATTAACATGTGATATTGTGAAATCAGTGTACGAAAACCGTTTGGTTCGTAAGTTAGTGCCCTCGAATGTACTTGTAATCGTCACAAGAAAACTAGAAAGTACTGAAGTATGGGCTCCGTCAATTCCTTCACGTCTTCAATAGCATGATCTTATATGAGTCAAGCAAAATATTTGTTAATTTAAACCCCGAAAGTTTGGTTTAATTTGGAGGGAAATGTCTTGTTGACATAAGAACTATGAATATTTATTGTTTTTTTTTTGTTAAAGGGCTTTAAATATTTATTGTTCTCAAAAAGAAAACTATGAATATTTCTTATGAGTGGTTTTGAAACATGCATGATTTGTTTATATTAGTTACCTATTCCTATGATATGTTTTGTCTGCTTTTGCATGTTTATGTCTTCCTATGTGAAAGATAATTTCTCTTTAAATTTTTGTTATTATGATATGCGATCTTTGTATTAAGCATAAATCAGGTATATGTATAGATATGTATGGTACTACTGGAGTCAAGGTTCAACACTAGGAAAAAAGATTATTG